TAATTTTACCCTCTCCCAAAAATTGTGGTATAAATTTTTTATCTCAATTTCGTCCCGAACCTTAAGGGTAGCCCTTTACGTGGACACTTTGCCGTTTGCCGAATTAGAAATTTTCCAGGGAATTTTCGGCTAAAATCTACTTTCCCGGAAAAGTTGCAGAAATGTAACACACTTATCGAAAGCCAATGCGTGAGACCACGAATCTCAATTTGCAACGCTGCAGACTTTCCATAAACCTAATAGACTTAAAATAAATAAATTGCGGGGAAAAAAATTGTCGGAAAAGTTTGAAGAAAAAGATTCACTTTCCCGGGTGAATTCGTGTTTTTTTTTTTTTTTTTTTTTTTTTTTTTTTTTTTTTTTTTAAAATAAAAATGACAACGGATGAAAGCTCACACGGCGTTCTTCCTGCGTTCCAGCACGACAAATTACTGTTACTGCCTTCTTTAGAGGTGTAAATGGCCTTAGATGCTAAAGCACCGCTTTAAAATAAAATTATTTTACTACTACTACATAACACCTTGTTCATCCATTGCCCTTCGGAGAGTTAGCACTTCCTCATTTCTTTTAAAACCCCATGTATCCACCCTTCCCCGCACACACGTTCTCTTGTAAAAAAATTAACTGCTCAGTTTAATTTAGCAATATATCTGTAAGTGGCTTGGTTCCTTTTTGTTAAAGGCGGTGAAATTATTGGCACGAAAATTAACAAATTTCCACTTTAAAATCCCAAAGATCGCTGAGCGTTCTTTCAACACACACGTATACATAGTACTACCGTGCTAAGGAAGAACGCCGTATGAACCTTCAGGCGTTGCGAAATTTCCTTCGATAAAACACGAATTTCATGGTAAACTTGTGAATATTTTCCTTCCAATTTTTCAGATAATTTCGTTCGCAATTTCACCGAAAGATTCTGAAAATCTCAGAGACAAATATTCATTAATTTCCTTAAAAATGAACGTTTTATCGAAGGAAATTTGGCAACTCTCGGATTTTCATATGGCGTTTTTCCTTAGCACGGCAGAGTATCCGACTTGTTTGTTTGTTTGCGTTATTTTTTATTTTCATTGGAGCGCGCAATTTTCGAAAACGCACGAATGAGGGGACGGCCGGCCGCGGTGAAAGTCGGTGGCGGGGACCGAAGTTTGTGAATCGTGGGGTGGGGGGGGGCAAAATATGTGCTCACGAGAGCAAACAGCAACTTCATTAGTGCGATTCAATACATCGCGTCGCCGGCCTGACAAAAGCACGTAACCGCCTCCCGTCAAGAGCCCCGTCGTCCGTTGACCTCCATGCTTTCCAGGGCTCACGCGGGAATAGGTTCCGTCGGAAAAGCGTCGAGGTTTGGCGCACGCACCGGATGAGCCGCGGATCCACTGTCGCATGCCACCACGCAGAGCTGCTCGTCGATCGGAAAACCGCGTAAAATCAACGAGAACTCCGTGTAGATACGTCGTTTATGTCGGGAAGGCGGAGCTTTGCTCCTGTTTAGGCCGGCTCGGCGATGGCAAACAAAGGCTAAACGCATTTTTCACGGTTCGTTATCCAAATCAGGACGCACTCGGCTCCCGCGCACGTTGCCAAATTTTAGCGCCTACAAGACTGTGAGAATACTTCAAGCATTGCTCGAAACATAGTGCGATTGGCTCCGTCGGCTTAAAACGCATCTTCGCGCCTACAAGACCGTGTGAATACTTCACGCATTGCGCCAAACACAATGCTCAACGATGGCTAAAGAACAATACTGCCTATCTGCAAAAGATCTTGTTTAATCCAAATTATCTAAAGATTTCAATGAAAAATGTTCATAACTTCCCTCAAAAATTCATGTTTTACCCGGAGAAATTTAGCAACTCTCGAATGTCCATATGGCGTTTTTCCTTAGCACGGCAGTATGACGGTTAGGCGTCGCAGAGCGCCATAGAGCGCTGCCAAAGCGACTCTCATGTATGTTTCATCCTTCTCTCACACCAAAGATCGTCTCGGTTGGCAGCGAAGTTATGTTCGCTAGCGTTTCCTCTCCTTTTTCACAAGAATCCACGATAAACTTAAAGGTCACGACTGAACTTTTTCACCGGCTTGTGTGACCCCTCCTCTTATAAAACCATGACATAAGAACTCAACTTCACTTCGAGGTGAGCCCTGAACATCACAGAGTCAAAAGCACAACAGAGCTCATCTTAATATCCGGTTACGCGCTTTCACCACAAAACCGCAGAATTGTCTCCGGCACTATCGTAAAAATGCAGCGGGAAATCATAGCCAGCGTTTTGAATAGAACTTAAAGTTCAAACGACTTTCACGAACTCGGCCTCGGAGAAAACCGAGCTCCGGGTCGATTCTCGAGTCCTCATCGAACGACCACAATCGATTAGATAGCGTTGCTAAGATACCGCTTTATCGATTAAATTATCTCGATGGCGATTCGACAATCGCGGTTCCTTTGAGTGGAGCGCCCGCTTTTATTAGGTCAACAGTCGCGGGCCGCGGACGGAGCACTTTAATTTCGAGATGAAATGTTGTTCCAAAAATAAACAGGCCGGAACTATTAATGGAGGAGCCCTTTCGGCAGCGGGTGATAAATGCTCGTAGTTCCAGACAGGCCCCCCATTTAAAATTTAAGCGACGGCACCATCCTTGTCTTCGCTGGAGTGGTGCGTCGCTCAAATGAGGGGGGGGGGATGATACGAATTATGCTTGCCTCGACAAGAGGATAATGCTTTCAGAATGCAGGCACTGAAACTAGCTGTGTTATATTCTAGAATTCTTCAAATTTTCCATCCTAAATAATAATAATTTATTCTCCCTCAGAAAGGAATCCTGGGACAGCTACACAACAGGAACGGGTTTCATACGGATCAAGAAAAGTTTTCTTTGATTGGCTAAAAATAATTCCCAAAAATGGTCCAAAACCACGAGGAGGATTATGCTTTCCTCAACAAAAAGATAATGAATTCGGAATGCAGGCACTGAAACTAGCTGTGTCATAATCTTGAATTCTTCAAATTTTCACTCTTAAATGATAGTAAAAATTAATTTCCTCTCTGAGAGAAATCCTACTGGGTGTCCTAAGGTTATACAGCTACACAACAGGTACCACAGGGACGGGTTTCATGGATCAAAATAAGTTTTCTTTGGCTGAGATTATTCGCAAAAATTGTCAAAACAACGAAAAAGATTATGCTTTCCTCGACGAAAATATAGTGCATTCGGAATGCAGGCTATGGCACTAGCAATGTTATAATCTAGAATATTCTTCAACTTCACTTTCCTAAATAATGTCTATTTACCCGAAGAGCAAGCATACAGGGTGTAAAAGGGTTTTCGTACTGTGAGGGCGAGATCTGAGATTCAAAATAAGTTTTTTCTCCCGAAAAACGCCCCATAGTCAGAGTTATGGCCTCACCGACGTTTTTTTTTAGAAAAGAGTCATTTCTCATGAGTTTTCGTGACTGTCTTGGTTTCACCGAACAGCCAGAGTTCTCGCTAACAATTTTTTCCTGGAGAGAAAATCCTCCAGCTTTGAATGAAAGGCTCAACGATTGAATGCTTTTATGAAGGCAGAAAAATATCAGGAGCAATTTCAATTGGTTTGTTTACGTGAGGAAAAAAATTCAATACGAGTTGGAACTAGCTACGTCGATGATTACAATACGATAGTTGAGTATTAATACTTAACCAAGTAGTTACCAATTTTATTTTTTAAGTATTAAGCAAAATCTTAAAATATTGATAACATTTTTGGCAGATTAAATTTTTTGAAATAAATGAATACGACTCACGGATCCATTCGTTTACATTCATGTTGTAGTTATCATACCTGAAACATAAATTAAAATCAAACTGTCGGATGATACAAGAAAACAAAAACAAAACATTTATAGAGTCTAGATTTCGAAACAAATCTGAAAATATATATATTAATGTATCCAATCAGGCATAATCTTCAAAAGTTACACCGAACTTAGGGAGAAGAGTCGTGGAGCTACACTGAAAAAAAATCTCGGTGTATTTACTAAAAAAAGGGTAAAATTACCAAGAATTCAGGGTTATCTATTTGATCCCAATTTTTCCTTAGTAAAGTTACCATTTATGGAATTGGTAATTTTACCGAGAAATCTCGGTAAAATTCTTGAACTTTCTCGGTAATTTTACTGGACCTTGGTAAAAACGCCAATATTTTTTATCGACTGTGGTAGAATTACCGACAAAAAATGGTAAATTTACCGGGAATTGATTACCAATAAAAGTGGTATTCTTACCTGAAAAAAACAGTAATAATACCAGTTTCTAGGTAAGCTTTACAAGTCTTGGTAAAATTACCGATAATTGGTAAAAAAGTGAGATGGTAAAGGGACCAAGGGACCTTGGTAAAAACGCCGAGAATTTTTTCTCAGTGTATCTCCCGGTGCGGCAGCCATGCGAATCTCGAAAGCAACCATGATTCGTTCGACAATTCGCTGAAAACCTCTGCGCACAACATGCGAGTTGGTAGAAATAAAACACTTTTTTCCCCAGATCTGAGACACGGGGAAAAAAATGAATCTTCTTTAATGGAAGGGTGAGCACTCGGCACGCAGGACCAACCAGATGCACGGAACGCATGCATGATGAACTCCGAGAGGGGAAAACAAAAACAAAAAAATCACGGAATTTTTTCCACTCTTTTGCCCCTTCCCATCTATTTTGGTACTTTTAAAATTCAACTCACTATCAGTCGGGAAAAAATTTCGACGGCAAAAAGATCAAAGCTCTAGTCGTGCGTAACTAGCGGGAATGCGACTGAAATTATTTTCCGCGCGCATCGGCTTTACTTAACGCACCTGAGAGCAACGTTCGTCGTGTTGTTGAACTTGTTTCTCACGGTTTCCGTACGTTTAACTGTAAAAATTAGTACTGCTCCAAAGTGCCATATCTCATCAATGAAACATACTCATATTGCTTACTTTTGTGTTTTGTATATACTTATTTTTATTTTGTGCTGTGATGCTGTGGAAATGAGCTTAAATACTACTAGTTTGATTGTGCTCACCCCGAAGGATACCTGTTCGACGTCTCAAGATATGGAGCTAATGCCGCGTAAGTCAAACCAGTGCTGGTTCTTAGGATATGCTGTTTTTGAGCAACACGGAAAAAAGTATTGAGTAGGGGTTCTTCCCTAAAATTGTGGCACTACCCCAATATGTTGGATGATGCGTACATTTCCAATTCATTTTGGCAGTACTGCAACATTTGGGGTGGTAACCTAATTTATTAGAGTACTAGTTACCACAATTAATTTGAAATGTACAAGTTAGGACTTAAGCCCTTTTCTACCTCTATTCTTCCGTGAACTTCAAATAACTTTGCTTCATGGTGTTTCCTAGGTCCTTTTAGGATGTATGTGAAGTTTGAAGCCCCTAAATTCATCCTATGGTTCCTTGTTAGTGCCATATTTTTTATTTAAAATTGGCTAATCATTTGGGATTGAATTGGCTAAAATAATCTTTTTCCAGACGAAGAAACATTGCTTTATTTCAAGGTTCTGCAAAATAACCATTCAATAGTTTTAATTTTACTTGAAAACTATTTGGTATGTCCAACTAAGACTTTCACTGAAGTTTTTTTTAATTATACGTAACAATTATTTAAAGTTTGAACAGAAATTGCAAAGTCAGACTCTCATAAAAATTTGGTTAGTTTGAGTCAATTCTACAACATTGGAATGAAGTTTATTTCTTTCGTCTGGGAAACGACAAGACGTCACGAAAAGGGATAAAAACAAGTCATGCAACAGAAATGCATTTTTTGTGTGTGAAATACTACCCTAAGAAAGAGCTCTTATGTTATACACAGAAACAGTATTTAGGTACACTTAAGAACCAAAAAACTGCATGTTGAAACCAGAGATTAATGTGAATTGGTCTGAACCCGCAACTTTGAGGCAAGAAATATAAGTGCAGTAACATGGTCGCGTTTTCATTATTGTAACTATTAATTCCAAACAGGTCTGTAAAACTAATGAAAACAGGAGTTTTATAAATTGTAATATAAAATAATATATAAAATTTCTTCATAGAACAATGGATTTACATTTAGCTTTTTGCATCTCTGTTTAAATTCCTGAAGTATAGAATAAAATATGGTGTAATTTTGTGAGTAACTTGACGAGTTAAATAGCCAAACATAGTTCATATAGGTCAAAAACACCATTATACATTACCACAAACCAAGCAAAAAAAGAGGAAAAAATAAGTTCATCCTCTCCTCGCCCACTTTTAGTTTTTTTATCAAAGAATTTTCCGGAGAGGATCGCATAATCATCGTCCATACTGCCTTTAACCAATGACGTCAATCCTCTTTGACGTCACTAAGCAGAATGAATCTATCCACAAAGGTAGCCTTGAAAAAACGCATATGTGCCAAAGCATAGTTACGTCCTTAACGCTGTTTTTTTTCTAAGTCCACACTTGAGGAAAACCCCGTTCTTTTTTACGGCGTCCATTACATTCCATTCGGAGTTCTACTCATAGCAGCATGCTGACAAAAAAAAAAGTCACTCAGGAACAAATACCATCAATCTTGTCATTGAGGCTCTATTTAAAATTCTAAGGGGTGCTTCTAGAAGCAAATTTCACGAAAAAACCAAAAGAACCACTTTTAGGACCTTAAAGTTTTGTATAAACGAAGTTACAAGCTTTTAAAGTTTCCAAATTTTGTCCAACCTCTCCTGTTGACTCGATCTTTCGTGCGGCAGTATGGGTCTATTGCACGCAAGAGATACAGCCGAGCGAATCAGTGGCATGGTGTGAATTGCGATACATCGATTTTTATGCCATTTAAACCTATTGAAAAGGATCGATAAACAGGGTATTCGCAGCGAACACCTTAATAATCGATTCTTTGCCATAGGTTTAAATGGCATAACAATCGATACATTGGAATTCACGCCACACCACTGGAGAAAATTTCAAGGGTATTATGACTCGGGAACCACGATGATAACATTAAAAAAGTCTGGAATGTACTCCTTAAGAGATGACTTAGGTTGGATTAGAGTCCCTTTATACCCAGAGTTAAGACAACTCGATTATCAGCTGACTGGCAGCCGGCCTTGGCTGGCCATGGAGGCCGAAACGAGTGCACCCAAACGAACGATATTGAGGGATAAGGATCAGGAATCCTGCGATGTCTGTCAAACAAAAACAACAACATCAACAAATTGATTACTTAAAAAGAAAATGAGATTGGTTTGTGAATAATTTCTTAATCTATTTTCATTTTGGACCGATGGAAATAACAATTTACTCTTGATAATCCACAATTAGGTAATATTTTCATTATTCTTGTTCACATTCGAGGTACCGCCATCTTGGTGCACTCGTTTCGGCCTCCATGAGCGAGAACCAATCAGAATTGGATTTTTTTTTAGGCCACTTTCAGCCCAACCAAAAGTGAGTTGTCTTAACTCTGGGTATAAAGGGACTCTAGGTTGGATCACGCTTGTACAAGTTCACCGCGTCTGGGGGCAATTTCAAGTCGCTGTAACTGCAAACAAGCAACGACAACTTGCAGTTAACTATAACCTGACAATTCTAAACATAATATTTATCAACATAACCCGCGAATCAAAGGAATAAGGGATGAAATTCGTTGGTATGGACCACTAAGAAAGATCACGATTCGATTGTTAACAAAACCAATGAACAGCAACAACGAAACCGGCAACTACCGGCACTCACCGAGCCGGCCTAAAGTTGCCGTCTACTCGTTTTCGGTGATTAGACAACTGCCTCTGGGCGCGGTAAATTTGGAAAAAAAAATCATCATCTACACTACACTCGTTGCACACTATGTGGTGGCTTTTAGATATTTTGACTCTAACTATCGTGATATTTGAGCCGTATTAGCCAACGACATTTATAAACGGGGCTGTATTTCTTGCGTGCAACAGGATGGAATCCATTCTTCACACTGATGAATGAAACTCGAAAATGAACTCAGAGCTGCCAGATTTATGTTACATGTTTAACTTAACATTGTTGGGCGTTTTTCTTCACAGGAAATCAAAATTTGAGAGATTTTTACGTATGGCACGTACATAATATCTGCGAGTATTTTCGTGCGTATCTTTGAGTACAACATAACATTCCATCAATATTTTGGTTTTCTTATCTCGTATTTTTAGGTCAAAGTTTTTAAAAATTGGGATTATTCATAATATGAAAATTATGTTATACTTTCTAGGTGCACTATCAGCTGAACAAAGGCGGCAGTTTCTCCAGAGGAATAAGCTTAAGGCCAAGCCAAACGCATATCCGGTCACGGATGGTAGGTTAATTTACCACTTTCTATTTTAAGAAAGATAACAACATGAAAAAAAAAGTAAATAAATAAATCAGTGTTCGAAACTCACAGGTGTCAACGCGCCAAATGCGCCTAAAAAATCGGTCATGGCGCCTAAAAAATGAAGGCTCTCCGCCAACATGGCCCCTAAAAATTGCCCCCTAAAAATCTAGATTTTCATAGGAAGTCACATGAAGAAAGAAAAACAATTGAAGTGAAAAAACTCAAAATTTTCAGCACTACAAGTGAAAGCTTGCTATTTCTATTCTTCACGATTTCATTCTTAGTGCTTTTGTCTTCCCCATAAGTTACAGCTACTTACTAGTTCTGTTACGAAAACATCTTGCGTCTAACTTTTCACTAAATGCGCCGTAATATATAGGCAAAAAGTCAATTTGGCCCCTAAAAAATCTTCAATGGCACCTAAAAATCGGGCTTGATGCGCCACATGGCTCCTATAACTCAAAGGTGAATTTCAAACACTGTTCTGCTTTCCTATAATCCGCACAAGGTTGGAGCATCCAGACATGATTAAGTCAGTGCTGGCATAGTATGAGAGGATTTCAACTTTTTTTTCAGATTGACTCTCCAACAGTCCAATTCCAGGAAAATTGCGTGTCTCTAGCCACAATCGTGAAAAAGAGATTCTGCTAAAAAGTTTCTAAGAGCGTTTGCATGTGATACTAGATTTTTTTCCCCTCCTTTTCAAGGAGAACTTACCGATGCTATAGGTAAAAACTTGCAGACGTGTATAATGGTTATTATATTTTTCTTCCTTTTTATGCAGGAGAATTATATGAAACGAATCATGGAGGTTTTGAAACCAGCTTAGCCGATCAACTGCGGGCAAAGAATATGATGATCGATTAGAATTTGACAGACTGATCCTAGAGAAATCATACTTTATGAAAGTAATTTAATATTTTAAACCGGTGTGCCTTACTTATACATATGGATGCTACTTTGTTTCCAGCTCTACGCAACGTTCAACGGACAACTGTCTATAGGGGAAATCAGATGCACTACAGGCCTGAATTACGAAAATATCCTAAAGGTAGCTATAAAAGTTGGATTTAGAATTATCCTACAGAAAATTGACAGTATAATGCAATGTACTTAAAAATCCTGCAAATACTCTTCAAGTTCTAGATTTCGCAGGGTTTTTTGTCTTATTTCTTGAAAATATTTTAAGCGTACTTTCAAGTGGGGACATTTCGGACACTTTTAGAGTATATTCAATATTATATTACCCCAAAGTTGCAATCCAATGCTGTACACATAAATTCAAATCATAAGCAGAGTTCCTACAGACAGAGAGATGAATTATAAAAATATTCAAGAGCACTAGCAATACCATCTCTACGTGTGACTTCTGTGTCACACGTACGAAAAAATTACAGCATGTTGTTTCAAATAACGACGGGCAAAAAAAGTTTACTTTTTAATGAAGTTTATAAAGGAAAATTTGGCAAAATTCCGATTAGACACGATTGCTAGTTTTCTGTTTAAAAAACAAATGAACTAGTAAGGAAAATACCTAAGACATATTTTGCGTTTAATCAGGTCTTGAAACATAAAAATTCCATCTGCAGAATCATAATCGTTAGATTTCGTCAAAAAACAACACGTAATGTCGGAGAAACCATCACGATTACAAAAAAAAACTTTTTGCTCCCTTTTAATCTATTCTACGCCTGAAATATTACCTGCACCAAATTTTGTGTCAATCTAGTCAGACCTCGAGCACTTAAGAATTCTGGCTGAAATTATACTGGAGGGTACTCTCGCGCATGTATTGGAAAACTAATATTAATGTTTGAAATCCGACTTCATTTCGACATTTATTAGCCGTTTTTTGCTAATTCCGACTTCCATCATCAGTTCCTAAACTCTCTCCCTCGTCCTGTCTGCCTTAATAATGATGATTCTATCCGGCGAAATAATAATTTTTCACCTTAATTAGTATAACTCCACAAGTTTTAACATCGGAAATCTCCTCGGTTTTCCTAAAATCAACCAGAATCCCAAAACTTCAAACTTAATTTAATAATTCGTAACCTCAGCAAAAAAAAAAAAGTGAAGTTGATTTAACATTTTGGGTGTAGAAAAAGTGTGCGAGAACTTATAAAATGCTGAATTACCCACTACGGCAGTTACTTTAGCAATGCCAAGATGTAAATCTAACTGCTGTGGCGGGTAATTCATCATTTTATAAGCTCTCGCACAGTTTTTCTACACCCAGAATGTTAAATCAACTTCACTTTTTTTTCGGTGCTGATTTCATTATTCCTATACTCTAGGTGCGGTGTATACCAGGTACAGGCTGCCACCAATGTATGTCACCTTTAAATGTCCGCCCAAAGTTGGTCTGCTGCTCTGCAGGGCAAGTTGCGAAAGACGGAGCAAATTCACGATAGGATCCTGCGATAACGGGTATTGCACGTGCCTACTCCTCAAGCCGGGATTCCGTGGTAAAAGTATGACAAACAGTGGAATCACTTCAGTGGCGTGGCGTGAATTGCGATCTATCGATTGTTATGCCATTTGAACCTATGGTAGAGAATCGATAAACTGGGTGTTCGCAGCGAACACCCTGTTTATCGATCCTTCGAGATGTCGATAAGAACTCGTCAGTTTCCGGCCAAAGTATCACAAGCGCCATGCGACGTTTAAAAATTTCCGCAGCCATTTTATTACTTTACGGAGAGATTGTTCAACGAAGCTGTACGAGAATTTCACTGAAATTTGTTTGTGCTGCCGATAAAGTTCAGTGAAATTTTCAAGCAGATTCAACCAACAATTTCTCTTGGTAAAAAATAAAATGGACCACTAGACAAGGTACGAATTTAAGCGATCTGATACATGTTTCTTAACCACAATTTCACGTAAAACACGATTCGCGCAATGAAAATTACTGAAACTAATTCCTAACGAAGATATTATCGTTTTTATTTCACATTGGTTACGAGGAATTTGAACTGCCCGCTCTCAAGAAACTCAAAGCTTTACGTGAGTCAAATCGCTCACTACAACGGTTTCAGAAAGCTTCTCAATCGAGCAATGTTCATTTCCCAGCATGTGTTGTTCAAACTATAGGTGAGCAATTTGCTATAGCCGAGCCAAAGCGTCAAGATTGAGGTTGCCAGATTTTTATATAGCAGAGACTGTCATAATAACATTCAGCGCGCGATGTGAATCTCGTAGAGAATTGAGTTTTCATGAGCGGGTGGTTTGAATTCACGTATCAAGAATCGTTAAATATCTTTGGAAGGAGTTGAATTCGGTAATTTTCGTTGTGCGCGTCGTATTCTACGTGAAATTTTAGTTACGAATCATGTATCAGAATGCTGAAATTCGTACCTTGTCTAGTGGTCCATTGCGGCAGAAATTTCGAAATGTCCCATGGCGCTTGTGATACTTTGGCCGGAAGGTGGCGAACTAATGTCATTGAGATTATCATGTCGTCTTGGCTATCCACCAGCCACAGTAATGGAGATGTTGCATGTGTGAGGAATTTGCGATTTGACCATTGATTCTTATGTAAAGTTCGCGAGAATTACAATGGTGCCACTGGTTTTCTCTGAAATCATCTCCCAAGCTCAAAAAAAGCTCTCAAGTTGAGGCCGTTGAGCAGTGATGCCGTGTTTTCAGTTTTAGAGTCCCCATATAAAGTGGCAGCCCTGTCAATGTATTTGCTCCCTATCTTGGCATGGAGAGTTTGTCTTGATGTAGAGGTGGACTCTCAGGATAGCGTGGGATATTCCCTCCATTTTGGCCTCAACTTGAGAGCTTTTATCGAGCTTGGGAGTTGATTTCAGAGAAAACCAGTGGCACCACCGTGTTTCTCGCGAACTTTTACCTAAGAATCGACAGTCAAATCGAAAATTCCTCACATATGCAACATCTCCATTATAGACTTACGGTGCGTCGAGCGGCTTTGGTTTATCAAGTAAAGCTTAAGAAACCTTAAAAGCTGTGACTCCCGCCATAAACATCTTACAGTTAAAAGCCGTGGTCTATTTCATGTATTATTTGGTCGATTTACAACCGAAACATATGAGAGGAGTAGCTGACAAAATGGCAAGATAACTGTAAATTGAAGACAGTTTATTCGTTTCCCTTGTTTGCACCCTAGTGCCGTAGGAGTCGTATTTGTAGTCGTTTCTCCCCTTACGAAGGTCCTATTTGGTTTACATTGTGAATAAGTACATTTTGTGGCCAAATTTGGCAAGATTGTGAATATGGGAGGATTAGAGAAGCATTGAATATGGTGTCATAAAAAGAACCGTTTTGGTAAATTCATTGTAAAACCCAAAAATAAAACTTTGGAAATGGCTTTACAAGGGACGACGATGATATTTCAATGGAAAAATTACAGAATAAGAGAAAAGTCCATACAATTTTGGTGAATTTTAAGGTAGGTGCGCACCTACGGCACCTACTTAAAATTTACCGAACTCGCAATATTCTATTTTGTGTATTGTATTTCTAACAGCAAAAAATAGATACATCAAGAGTAGATACTTTTTGCCTGTTCAAATTTGCGTAGACTTGGTACGGACGATGAAGGGGCGATTATCATAGAAGCTTTGAGAGGATTACGGGTACTTGCGGACCTAACTACGCAAACTTGTCCAAAAGTTAGCTGAAAAAGCTCAGAAATTCTATAATAAAGAGGGTATTGCAGCATGTTACAAAGGCTTACTTTAACCATTTTTCAGTAAACAAGCTCACCGCTTCTACTAAGGGAAGTCAAATCGATATATCGGATAAAACGGATAAATGGAATGAAATTTTTATAATTTCAACTATATTTATGGCTGTGTTTGTGTTAATGTAGTTGCACCAGCCAGATGCACGGTTGAATCAAGCGGAATTCTGGCTGGTGCAACCACACTACCAACTTAAAACCTAAATACCTAAATACTTTTATATACTAATAAAATTAAAAAATATTTTAAGTAAGATTATTAATTATATACCTCACCAATAAACAGTTAGATAAAGACATAGAATACAGCCACGAATATAGTTGAAATCATAATTTTCTTTTTCTGTGTGGCAGTCAAAAAACCAGATTGAATCCTCTCCTAACTAAATCTGCCACAAAATCTTGGCAGACAAGTCGTTAATAACTCCAATGTTAAATTCGTCCGAACAATACATTCAATTTAATTTACAATGTTTCAGGTGTATTCGTCAGGAGAGCCAATTGTTATTTGAAAGCAGACAGAGTAAAATGCACCAAGTTCTGCGTTTACCAATTCGGAAGAAGCGCTCAAGGATTGTGTAATGCAGACAGGTGTAGATGTTTCACGAACCCGAAGATCTCTCCGAAAAACCAACTTACCGCTTGCGAACAGGCGAGAAGAAGGCTGGCGTTTTTGGAGGCACGCTTGCGAGCTATCATGCGCAAAGATCCATCCTCCCGGACGCCGGAGGAGAGACGGTTCCTCCAAGAGGTATCTAAAAATCCGCGAGTCATCCAACGTATCAACTCGTCACGCAGACCACGTAAGACTAGAGCAACGACACCTAGACGCGCGTCAACCCCCAGGTATACAAACTTTCAATCGATCCAAAGAAAAGCTCCAAACGCAAGGAATTCACCCAGAAAGTCTCCAGCGCCGGCTATCAAGTTCGTATCGGACCCTAAGGGTCCCCAATTCCCAGTCAACCGGAACAAGGCTCAATCAGCATCGAAAAGGGTCGCTGTGAGCCAGAGGAGGAGGGGACAAAGCCCTGGAAAGGGTGTAACTGGTGCAAGGCAATCTCCAAAGATAGGCCGAAATCCTCCCATGAATACACGCCCAAATCCCGGTAAAGGAGGACCTAAAGCTTCCTCGCCGAAGTTTCGGCAACAAACGCCAGGAAAACGTCAGGATGGTAACGCTTATGGAAATAATCGCAATTCCCAGCCGAACCCCCCGCGGAGAAACGGCGTTGCACAGAGTCCGAAGAAGGGTGCACCAACCCCGAAGCAGGATCCCAAGAGAGGTGGCAGTCCGAAAAACAAACAGAAAAGCCCCAAAGGAGGAGGTCCTTACGGTCCTACGTCAAAAGATACGCTGCCCCCGCCAAGAGGACGTCCTGGAAATGATCACAAAGCGAGAGGCGAGGACAAGTTCCAGGAGAGTCCTCCAAGCGGGTACGGCGGGCAAAAAGAACAAGCTCGACCTCAAAACGCTGGTAGAGGAGGAGGAGGAGGGGGAGGCAGAGTGCCTACTCCAGGCAAAGGAGTAAATGGTGGAGGAAAATCACCTGGCGCAGGAAAGGGGGCAGGATATGGAAACCGGCCCGAAGAGTCCGATGAAGATGATGAGTCAAAAGAGGAGGGCAACAACGGAGGCTACAACGGAGGGGGCAGAATACCTGGCAACAATGGCCAGAATGGAGGTCGCAACGGAGGGGGCAGAACACCTGGCAACGGTGGCTACAATGGAGGCCCCAATGGAGGAGGAAAATCACCATATTCTGGGACAGGAAACAGACCACCTGGGGGAGGTGGAGGAGGAAATAACCCTGGCGCAAGAAATGGGGCAGGATATAGAAACCCGCCAAAAGAGTCCGATGAAGATGATGAGTCGAGAGAGGAAGGCAACAATGGAGGCTACAACGGAGGAGGCAGAATAGATGGCAACAATGGCCAGAATGGAGGCCGCAATGGAGGGGGCAGAACACCTGGCAACGGTGGCTACAATGGAGGCGGAAAATCACCTGGCAGACCTCATTCCGCGGCAGGAAACAGACCGCCTGGGGGAGGCGGAGGAGGAAATTATCATGGCGCAGGAAAAGGGGCCCCATATGGAAACTCGGGGCTAACGTCCAGTGAAGAAATCAACTCCAAAGAAGATTACAGTAGCGAATCAGGCGGCTATGGAGGAAATAAAAATCACCCCCATCAAACAGGTCAGTATTTCCATCCATTCACCCGACTGTGTTTCCTTTTCCACCTGCTTTTTTCCAAGTTTAAAAATTATACACTGTAACACTTGTGAACACTGTCCGGGTTGCCAGAAAATTAGAAATTGTTTTACGTAAATTTTTGACGCTACTTCCGTGAATGACCTCCGATGATGCTTCCTGGTAAAATCGAAATTTTCTCCAAAAATCGAGCCCTTTCAGTCGAGCATTACATTGTACAATTTTTAATTTTAGATTCATAATAGGACGTATTTCTATCAAACGGAACTGAGCGCCATAGGGGTAAGAGGGTAGAGGGGGGCTTGGATTGGCGGCGGAACCGGGCGTCAGGCTCATTCCGACCTACATATACTCGCAATGCTTTTACATGGCGCCTAGTTCCGTTTGACAGAACGCGCTATCCGGCATTCTAAATTCCTCACAAGGAACTCAAATTGACGCTTAGTTCCGTTTGACAGAAATACGTCCAATTATTAATTTAATTTTAGGTCTAGTCAGGCAAATATAGCATTCAGCAGCCTTAAATCATTTGTCAAGTGCATCATATTTTTCCCCTTGTTCCCATTGACGAGATTTTTCGGTGAAATGACTTCCTCAGCCCACGTATCATCATATGAAGCTTTTTTGCGTCCGAATGGTTCACTAAGGCTTCTTTCTCTGGTGTTTAAAGGAGCAATTTCTACAAAATTCTCACCGCATTTTCGGATGCGTGACCAGAAAACTTCGGAGATCCATATGACCTCAACTTCGGGTCCCATGCACGAAGTTTTTTTTCCGTGCATACTGCCGAAAATTGATGACTGTCTTATAAGAATAACTAACGCCTGATAGAAATTGTAAGCAGAAAATTGTGCACTGCAAAAAAAACTCCGGCCGTGGGAGCCGCAATTACGGGCTGTATAGACATACCGTTCGTTCCGGGCTCAAAGGCCGAAAATTCCGGCTGCTGGAGGCGCAGCTTTGATTGCTCCGGGTTTGGAGGCCGAAGCTACGGCTTCAGCAGCCGGAATTTTCGGCCTTTGAGCTCGAAACGGACGGTATGTCTATATAGCCCGTAATTGCGGCTCNCCGGAGAACTGGACAAAACAGCCTCGAAAAGTGACTTCATCGGCGATCCAGTACTTTGCGACTCTATTGTACTCTATGTGTGATACTAGCTGATCGTTAGCCTAAGGTGGTGCCTAATTTTAATTTCAGGCCCCGCAAAAACAAATCCGCGAGCGCCTGCAACAACGCCAAATAGTGGCAATCAGAATGGCAACGGAAAAGATGGGACGAGACAAAATCCGTATCGAACTCCTAGCCGCCCGAATTCCCAATCAGGAAAGATGCCTGTAGATTCCAACACAGGACAAACGGTCCCTCCAAACAGGGTACTTGAAGATCCTATAACCGGGAAGCAGGAGGTCGTGCCGCCAGGCAGTCAAGTGGTCACGGATCAGAAAACCGGGGAGCAAATAGTTGTACCAGCGGGCTCTCAAGTGACCCACGATGCTAAAACTGGGGACCCGGTGGTTGTGCCTCCGGGTCACCAAATCGACCCCTTGACGGGCCATACGTTCCTGCCGAACCACACCGCGCCGAAACCCGTAATCACCGAAGATGGCGCTTGCCCGGTAGCTCCAGGAAACCATCAGGATCCACCAGTGCCCCCGCACAACAAGTACGAAAACCCTGATCTACCACCGCAAGCACCCGGGCACCATAACCAGAATGTACCACCGCCAGTACCGGAATACCAAAAACAGAATGGACCACAGTTGGACGAATACGGAAGACCGATTCCACCACCCCGGGACGACTATCCACCACGGTTGGACGAATACGGAAGACCGATTCCACCACCGCGGGACGACTATCCACCACGGTTGGACGAATACGGAAGACCGATTCCACCGCCGCGGGACGACTATCCGAAAGGACCACAGTTGGACGAATACGGAAGACCGATACCGCCGCCATATGAGGACCCGAGGCAGCGAAGGAACAGGCGGTATGAGGAGGATGATCAATATGGTGATGAATTCAGCGGGGAACACGATGACCCGAATGACGATGAATATGTTGATCCTGATACGATCGATCCAAACACCTTGAGTCGAGAGGATCGCGAAATTTGGAGGCAGATGAAACGGGATAAAGAGGAAAGGCTGCGGGCCGAGGCTGCGGAGTACGAACGTGCCCAAAGGTATCAGAACAATAATCAACGGAATCAGAACAATGGTCCGGAGTATCCGAGCAATAATCAACGGCATCAGAACAATAATCAAGATTATGATCGGGACGACGGGTACGCGGGAAACGGGTACGGTGGCAATAATAAAAATGGTAATAATCAAGGAGGGTACCAGCGCAACAGAGATTACTAACGTGATGAAAGAGAGAAAACCTTCTTTATATTGATGCGAAGTATAGGAATAGGTAATAGGAATAGCAATAGGAATGAAAGGTATCAGAACAAAATCCAAGACAACAGAAAAATAATCAACGGAATCAGAACAATAATCAAGATTATGATCGGGACGATGGGTACGCGGGAAACGGGCACGGTGGCAATAATAGAAATAGTAATAATCAAGGAGGGTATCAGCGCAATAACGGAGATTACTAACACAATGAAAGAGTTTTGGTTGATCAAGATTTCTACCGCGATCAGGATAATCTGAAGAAAGAGTGACAATGTGACATCAATGTTAATCCCGTCAATTGAGACAAAAAATGAAGATTAAGCATTAAGTAAAGCTTTGGGTTCAGAGAAGCAAGTTTTCCACATTCGTATTGGGACTGTCACAGAGGAGTCAAATAGAATCCCTCCCTTTTTTTGGACCTTTAATTCGCCATGATCCATCTCTACAGGATAAGGGATCTTTAAAGTATTTGGGAAGAAGCCTCGAGAACTACAATGAGTATTGCAGATGAATACACCGCTAGAGAGTTNGGGGGGGGGGGGGGGGGGCACGACTAGTTGGGACTGCCGAGGGCAGCGTTCCCAAATATGGGAGCTCGGCCACGGGCAAACTTCATTGAGAAAAAGCCCGGGAAAAAAAATGAATCCGGCGACTGTAAAAAATGTAAATTAGTAAATAATGATAACTTTTTGTACAAAAATGTACATACGAAACGAGGGAGCGACAGCAATGAAGTTACGTCTTTACTGCTTAATTTAATTTATTGATTCAGGAAGAAACACATTGCTTGAGTTTTTTTTTGTTGTAATAATCCACTGATAAACGTGAATGAACAATTAATGTTTAGTATCCTCTGATAGTATGAAGAAAATAAAATTCTTCCAACTTGTACTATTAGCAAACATTTCTTTGAATTTTCTAGGCTCCTTTTTTTTAACGATTTTGAGATTAAAGTAAGGCGATTCATTGCGTGTGTAAAGCTGAAATTTCTAGAAAAATTATGGCGTTTTTGTCGTATCTCATCAAGATTCAGCCTCCTCTCTTGCTGTATTGCACTGTACAGAAAATTTTCAACACGATGGAAAAATTAATAATTCAACCCTTTTTTGCCCCTTTTCACAGACTGACAGACATTGACCTCGATAGAATCTCGGTTGTATCTGTGACGATTTTTCCCCTCTTGTGTGACATCAAAAGCGAAAAAGTAGTGTAGGTATCTGTAAACAAAATTATCCATCATACATGCACTCTGCATGCTACTCCAGAATCTAGGGAGTTTTTGTATTTTTTTGTTAGCAGTGAATCATCCAGTAAGCCTTGCCGTGACAAATGTTGAAAAATCTCATTACCATGTCTACGACACAAAAGTCTGCTGGGGACGAGACAGAATAAAACCTTCGGAAGATTTTTCTCAGAACCACGATTCTTGCACTGCCAACTTCGAATTGACAGAGCGCGTTTTCGTTTTAAATGTTCGGCATTTTTAATGATTAATTGTTGTGAAACATTTCTCTAGGCAAGTGTGCCAATATAATTCAATTCAAAAGCTTTTCGACACTTGGGCTATTTACACCGCAAACGGTCACGTGTGCATGAATAAGACATATGCAAATTAAAAATCCCTTTATACAACAGCTCTCAATTTACAAACTAAATCTTTCAAATACATGTTTTTAAGCCACTAAATAGCCCACAGTTCATCTAAAATCCTCCAGAGCTATCTTGTGTGTCTGTCGATGTTGGTAGATTCTTTGAGATTCCACAAAGTATACTAGAGCTTTCTAGTTACCTCTTTCACTAATATTTTCCCAGTGCTCACTCACTCCACATGGAAATTCGGGGATTTCTTCCATTTCTCTCTGGGCTATTCATGATTAAAAACTAGATTTTTCTCAACCACAACACGTCCGGTAAAATGTCGATTTGCCGAACAAGTTTTGGACGTATAGAAAAATGAATTTAAACATCGACTTTTGCCCCAGCCAAACGCGATCACCCCGTATATACTGCAGTTCGCCTAGAGGAACCGGGGGCAAATGCAGAATATTAAAATAAAGGAAATGTAACCATGCCTCGTTTCTATTACCGCGAATCGTTGCAAAGTGGCAACAGGTCGGACTGATAGGCCGAGAGGGATTTTTCTCACGAAAAAAAAATTTTTTGCTGTTTATGCATGATGATTCTTAAATTTGGTGCCAAGGATGTCTCCAATATTGTATTGACGAGTAACATCCTTGAGTTGAACAAAAAAGTAATTGAAATTAAGGAGCGTCACTATTGATTGAAGAAAAAAATTCTTAGTGGGTTTAGATTTTTTTTTTTTTTCTAAGATTTAAAATTGCACACGCAATTGTACTCAGCACTTTTAATTTAAAGCGTGAGTCAGAAAAAATTGATTAAGAAAATTGCACACTCGATGCAAATCACGCGCTTGATGTGTTGTATTACTCATGCTAGTTTGTGAGGCGTGCTCCATCGGCATTTGATATCCCCATATTTAAAACTACGGGAAATAATCGATTACGGAGGTGTTCGTTGCTAACACCCTGATAATCGATCCTTTTCCATACGTTTAAATGGCATAATAATCAATATATCGCAATTCACGCCACGCCACTGCATATGCTATCCACTAGCGTGAACTCGAGAAACGAAAACATATGCTGAGAAATAGACAACGCTGAAAAATATAGAGCTCAAAAGAATCATTGTGCTTGGGATGATGAGCAAATCAATGGGAGCTTTCAATGATGGAAAATTTTTACCCGTTGTTGACGGAATGAATGTAAAATTCCTATTTGAGGAGTGAATCAGGGTAAAAAGGACGCTGATAATGTAAAAGAGGTTGTCTAGAGTAACACGGATGGGGGATTTCAGTAACGTGGCGTGCTTTGCGATACATCGATTGATCTGCCATTCAAACCTATGGAAAAAGATCGATAGACAAGGTGTTCGCAACCAACACCTTAATAATCAATTCTTCACTACAGCTTCAAATGGAAAAATATCGACAGTCGATCATATCGCCTCGCCACTACTAAAGGGTCATATAAAGTTGGAATCAATGAGAGTTTTAAAATACAGCATGAGCGGAATCGGACAGCGTTTAGCAGAAAGGAACCAAGCAACATCAGCTATTCCTAAATTTAACCGGGCAATTTAATTTTTTAACCAGTGAGCGTTTACGCGGATTCCTTTGACAATTTCAAGGAATTCGCTTTGCATTATGCAGAAAATTCACTGAAATGACAAAAATCCATACGATTATTTTCGAGGAAACAGTTAAATTGCCGCAATGTATTTGGCAATAGCCGATGTGACTCGGTTCCTTTCTGCCTAACGCGGTCCAATTTCGGCAACAGGAAAATGGAGTTACGTTGTTTCGGGTTAAGTTTGCCCAATTCTGTGAACATTCGTCCAATTTTCCGGATCATGCGAGTTCTCTCATTGAGTTTACGATTTTTTTTCCTCTCTTTCTTTTCTTGTCTTTTCTTTTTTTTCTTCTTTTTTTTCTCATGTCAGTCGTTGGCTACTGTAACCGGTATCACGCAAAACTATGATGCTGCAACCTCGGCCACGCGCGGCTCCGACACAAAAAAACCCGGGGAAACCATCCTGGGAGCCAGTTAATTTGCGCGGAAAATTCCGAGCGGAGAAGTGGCACTTTCCCGGGTCGTATCGTAATGCCCGGGCACGGCACCCGCTCCGTGCGCGGCGCAGCGGCGGGGCTTAAGGAGAGTTGATAATTCTCGCGACTTTATAGATTTTATTTAACGCGAATATTGAATATCCACGGCGGGGCGAGCGCGCCGTAAAAAGATACACCTCGCGCGCAGCACGGCGCGGCGCGCATATGCGGCCGAAGGGTTGTAAATATTCCACGTGAACCACTTACTCCGAATGCACTGCTTAACATGCACGCGGAGTTTCCTCACGCTCCGGGTCCCTTCCAGCGTTGCCGGATGAGTTGGAAAATCCCGTTTTTAATTTTTTTAATGGATCCTAAAACCTTGTGGTTTTTATTCGGATTGCATTTTGCAAAAAGGAACCAAGAGCATTAGAAGGATTAGAACTGCCCGCTCACAAGAAACGCAAAGCTATATGAGAATCAAATGGCGCACTACAACGGTTTCAGCGAGCTTCTCAGTCGAGAAATGTTCATGTCCCACCATGTGTTGTTCAAACTATAAGCAATTTGCTGTAGCTGAGCCAAAGCGTCAAGATTGAGGTTGCCAGATTTTTATATCGTAGAGACTGTCATGAAAACGTATGGCGCGCGGTATGAATCACGTTGAGCATTGAGTTTTCATGAGCGGGTGGTTTAAATTCACGCACCAAGAATCATTAAATATCTTCGCAAGGAGTTAATTTCGGTAATTTTAGTTGTTTGTTCCGTGTTTTACGTGAAATTTTGGTTAAGAGGCATGTATCAGAATGCTGAAATTCGTACATTATCTATTAGTCCATTGATAGTGTATTGGGAGTAAAGATAAAACTTGTTCAGAAGATCAGTTTATAATTGCAAGGTGCGAAAACGTTGCACAATCTCAGCGACATTGGAATGCGCTTGGTCCCTTTTCGCAAAATGCAATCAATTTAATATTCTGAGAGAAACAGGTAGTACATCACGGTTATTGATTGCGTATATTAAATGAGAAAACATACATCAAGAAGCTTCAATTCGCACCTTGCCTGGTGGTCCATTGCAAAGTGAGTTGGATAATGTCGCCTTCAATTTCGATTGATACTGTGCCACGCACGGGTGGTCGAATAGTTGCCGCGTATTCATATACGCTGGGTAAAGGGAGCCTTTTCTGGTGGTCAAATAAACCTGGTGTTTTTTATTTAATATCCTGAAAGTAATAGGCGAGTACATTACTTAGATTTATTGCGTATTTTCGGAGTCAAGATACCGGACAGCTCGTTTGCCTTCCGCCTAATGTATTCGCAATTAGTCAAAA